AAATATTATGTCTAATAGAGAGTGACACAATTAAGAGACAACAAAGCTGCATTATGCAGCATAATAAGGTTGTGGCAACTTTCAGTTTCATAGAATAAAGGTGTCCATAAACAGTCCACCCATATTCTGAAGCACAGGAAAAATTCAAGCTATTTAGCACAATCTAAAGCACAATAATGAACACTCTAAGCATCCGAAGAGCCAATTATTATTATTATTACAGGCATTTTTTTTAATCATCATCATTGTTTACATAAATCTTCAACCTTCCTGAAAAAAAGCTCTTTGTACCACTTGGTTGATCTTTCCCTTTTTTCAATGAGAGACAGGGCAGTATCAATTGCTTAACACACAGCTTGAGCCGATTAGGCAAGTTACTGTAAAAACAGAGATGAGTCCCAGTGCAAAAAAAAAGAGCAGTGCCAATATTTGGGTTCTTTATTTTTAAAATACATTTCCTTAATTATTATTAGTAGCTGAAGTATACCTATTCCAGAACAGGCAACATATGAGATATAACAGACATTGCGAATTCAGGGGGTTATTTACTATTGAGTCGAGGGATTAAGCCGAAGCATTGGTAGACAGCGTGGCCAACAAATAACTACAGAGGGTATCATGGGGAATAATGTACAGCAAAGAAGTACAGAAGTAATAACAGCCCTTAGTATGTGTAGGTGAGGAGTGCAGGATATAAAATGGAAAAATATGTGCAAGAGAAGAGCATGGAGGGTACAACAGAAGTCAGTATGTGCTTGTCAGAACTGCGAACGATATGACAGCAGTAAATATGTGCAGAAGAGGAGTATGGGTGGTATGACAGCAGGGGAGAAGTGCAGAACATGACAGCAGAGAGTGCGGACAGTATGATGAGGTCAATATGTGCAGGAGTATGACAGCGGGCACTATGTACAGGATTATGGGCAGTATGAGCAAGAGAGGAGTTAGGAAGATATGATGGTGGGCATACATACAGGAGAGGGGTGTAGTGAGGGTATGACAGCAGCTAGTATGTTCAGGACAGGTTTACAGTTGGTATGATAGCAGGCAGTATGTGCAGAAAAGTGTTGTGGAGGGGATTATTGGGCTGTATGTGCAGCAGAGGAATGAAAGGTATTATGGGAGCAGTACAATCAGCAGAGGAGTGCAGAGTGTAAAATGATGGGCAATAGTGCTGGAGAAATGTACGGAGGAAACAAAAATGGGCAATATGAGCAGGACAGGAGGGCTGAGGGTATAATAGCTGGTAGCATCTTAAAGAGATGTATGGAATAAATGACAGTTGGCAGTATGTGCAGGAAAGGCTTGCGGAATGGATGTTTGGGGGTAGTATGTGCAGCAATAGGGCAATATGTGCAAGAGAGGAATGCAAAAGGTAAAATAGCTTTTTATTCTTGCACATACTGTCTTCTAACAGTGGGCAGTGTGTGCAGGAGAGGAGTACAGAGGCTATTACAGCAGGCAGTATATTTAGGAGAGGCGGTTGGTGGGAATGATAAAGGGATGTGCAAGATAGCAGTGCAGAGGATATGATGGGGGCAATATGTGCATGAGAGAAGTACAGAGGTAATGACAGCAGGCTGTATGTACAGGAGAAGAGTACCGAGGGTAGGATGGAGGGGTGTAATATGTGCAAAACAGGAGTTTAGCAGGTATAATAGCACACAATGTGTGCAGGAGATGATCGTGGAGGTATGGTGAGGCAGGATGTGCAGGCAAGGAGTGTAATGGGTATGACAGAGAGCTATTTGTGCAGTAGAGTACCAACGGAAAATCTGTGATCAATGTGTGCAGGAGAAGAGTAGGAAGGTATGATGGGGCAATATGCACAAGAGATTAGTTTGAAGTGTATGACTGTGGGCAGTATGTGCTGGACAGGAATGGAGAGGGTAGAATGATGGAATATGAATATGTGTCCAAGAGAAAAGTGCAAAAGATATGACAGAAGGCAGTGTATGAAAGAGAGTAGTGTAAATGGTACCATCATGGGCAGTATGTGCAGGAAGGCAATATGTGCAGGGGAGGAGTATGGTGGTTAAGCAGGCAGGATGGGCAGTAGGTCAGTGTGTTAAGGGAGAAGTATGGACGGTATGAAAGCAGGCAGTATGTGAGGAGAGAAGAGTATGACAGTGTGCAGTATGTGTAGAAAAGGGGTAGATAGGGTATAACAGCTGGCAGCATGTTAAGGTTGTGAAGTAGAAGAGTGCGGTGGGTACAGGATATAGAGGCAAACACCAATGGGTGTCCTAAACACACACTAAGAAGCAGTAAGAAACTTTACTTTTTAAAAGGCAGCGTCTCATGGTCCAGCCACGAATGGGTTAAAGTTCACAACAAAGACTACAGAAGAGTTTGTCGGTTTTTAGTACTTTACAGGCCCCTGTGGTTGTTTGCATTAGAAGCCTGGAAGGTTACCAAGACTTACTTTTATAGCTGTGATTTCAGTGCTTCTGTTGCGAATATGTGAAGCTGAATTTCTCCACAATGCCTATAACTACAGGTGGGCTTGTTTTAGTTCTTTTACTGTGTGTTATGCACATTTTTACACCACAAACTCTAAATGCTTACTTAGGATGCATTGACAATAGGGGTTGATTTGCCAAAGTTTGATTTACAGTCAAGCAGACACAGCATCTACATATACAAAACTCTAAGTCTCTTCCTGGTTCATGAGACAAATGTGTGTATTAAAAAACATTACTACAAGTTTGGAAAATTTAACTTTAGCTCTCATACTTTTGCATTGCACAGTTATCCAAGCTTTTTGCAGTAAGTTTTATAAGTGGAGAAGATCATGTAAAGTACAAACATGCCAGCTATGCTTTAGGATATGGAGAGCTATTAAAGCAGAACTCCATCTTAAAATAACAAAACAAAAATAGTCCATTAAAAGATAAAATGTCAAAACCAACTTTTAATTCAATATTCACCTTCAATCCAGAAATTTCCCCCACAGTATTTTTTCCTGCAGCTAGATGTGCTTAGTCTAATGGCCAACATCATTCAACCCACTTCCCCCAAGCCCAGGTCGTCTTGGACCCACCCCAGCCTGTAACTAGACAGTGAGAGGAGAAGCAGCATAGTGATTACATCATCTCACACTCAGAGTCTGCTGTGAAGGGACTGCAAGAAGCTGATACCAAGTTAATGTATATAAACGTTGTATACACCCATTTAAAAATATGAATTGAAAAAAGGGCCTCAGTCATGAAGGGGTTAAAGAACTGCAATCATGTGTCTCTTTTATATCAGGCTAGAATTCAACATTATTTTTTTTAACTGAGCTTACCACATGCCAGTCTTACATGTCTGTTGCCTGACAACAGTATTAAAGTGTTAGAACAGTATGACATAACAGTGGCTGTTATGTCATACGAACGGTGTATGCCCTCCTATACACTTGCAAAGCCATTAACTCCATGTCTGGCCACAGGGGTCATCAAATTGCAGGTAATATAATAGATGTGTTCATTTAATCATCATTGTAAAGTCATTTTTGTCTTGCCCACATAAAAGTCCAAGACATTCTGTATATGACTTCATTGGTGTCAAAGTCCATGAAATGTCTGCATCTAAGGCGCCTCCTTGTCAGCAAGACCAACTCATACCCCCATTAGCACATACGGACAATACAGTTCACACATCTATACACAGCTTTGTGTGACGTGTTATCTGTATTTAGATTTGTCTGATATGTACTTTGAACCAATATATATTTTAATGAGTTAGCTCCAATTTTGGAGTCCCTCTGAACAAAATACTCAAATTCCCCCGACATTGGATAAAAGATATTCATGTATTAAAGGATCTAGACCCTTAATTCCACCTTCCCACCCAGGAAAAATGAGTAAAAGCTTACATATTTATTTGTAAAAGTAAAAAAATTGGAAAGATTTTCTGAATAAAGCCTAGCTCGCTTTCCAGATGTTGATTTCTTACAGTGTACACACTGCCACAGGAATCATGACTGATGTGGTTATGGCCAAAATGCAGGTTGACTAATAGGGATATATTTGTTGATATGTTAACCAAGCCTTAGATGGCTACAGCCGGCACATAGACTTGTTATTTAGATACAGATGGAATGCATTTTTTATTTCACTAAGTAAATTGTAGCTCTGGTGCATTTTAGAGATTTTGAACTGGGTCATGAATGGAAGCGACGTGCCTGGACTTTGGTACCTATGACGCCTCTTTGCCTCCTATTACATGTGATTGGAAAATGCTTAAATAATATACACCACTCCTGAAAATATTGTACAACAAGAAGTTACAATTGTGCTGACAACGTACTGGCTTTTATCGGAAATTAGGTGCTTCAGAAAATACAGTGGATAAGTATGCTGTAATTGAGGCAGCAGTCAATGCCTATGCATGTATGATACTTCAAGAGGCATGCAGCACCAAGATGAATTGTGTAGAGAACATGACTGTATATATTAATTTGGCACAATAGAGAGTATGCCATTTTGAGTGGTGATTGGCATATTCTCCTCTCTATGAAACGGTACACTGTTTTGATCATGCTGTATCTGAGATATGTTCAAATACCCAATCTCCATCCAAGTTGGCTAAATAGAGTAACAATTTATGGCTAAATGGTATTGTTAATGGGCAATTATAATAACATGGGTTTACAGCTTATGGACTTCTGAGGGAGTAAAGTTAGTGTGACTGCCATATAGAAGCGCACACTTTAAAATAACTGTGTATATAGCCTCTATTCATCTACACTCAATTTTTTGAACTTGCACAGGAATAAGAATACCCCTGGGGTTTACTCTGTGCATAGGGATTTACACCACTGAAAGCTTTAACCTCCAGGCGTTTGCTGCACTTTATTACATTAGAGGACTGAGATCTGGTTTCCTGGACAATGGCTTAAAGGAAAGAGAAACCACTTGATATATTTGAGGCCACAGATGTAGAGGATACAATTGTTACCCCATTCTAGTTTATAAGGAACACAATGATATAGAGACACAATTGAAAACTATTCCTGAGACAAATGGGAATGATTACAAGAGGGTGCCTAAGTGTACTATTTGCATCAGTGTTGCCTCTATGGAGTTATGGTTGTAAGAGTAGTATCAAAGTTTTTGCACTTTATTTTACTGTTCGCAAAAAGCAACAATGATTTGTGTATATTAATATCCCAATGGAGTACCCTTTTTTGTTGTGGGGTTGCGGCTCACTGAGAGATCATGGCTTCATGAGTTTTTGATGGTTATATTTGGATATATGATATCACATGTGTATACTCCTTCTAAGGATGCCATAAAGCAAGGTTCACTAACCTGATTTCTTGTATGGTTAAAGTTGTTTTGAAAAAAATAACGAATGGGGTGGATTTTATTATAGTGTAGAAGGTCGTCGTCACTCGAACACCCAGGTCCAATGCATCAATCCGTCCTTTTATTGACGTCAGATACACATGGTATCACAAGTACAAAGCAACATTTCGGAACCTAGCATGGTCACTACATCACGCAATAAGCACAGTGATGAAGGGACCATGCTAGGTTCCAACTTTGTACTTGTGATGCCATGTGTATCTAACATCAATAAAACGATGGAATGATGCATTGGGCCTAGGTGTGCAAGTGACTACTACTACATTTGGATTTGTGCGGCGCCATCCGCATGTCATTCAGCACCCTCCATTATATTACTATGGGATTCTGGTCTGGCAAAGCAATGGGACAGGAATAGATTTTAATATTACATAATTAACATAATAATATTACAAGAGCCTCCATTTGTCTTTTCATACTATTTGCTGTGCAGCTTTCTAAGGGTTGTGTTTATTTTATAAACTTTTCATAACAGATAATATTCAAAAATACCTGTGTAGGGCTGTAAGTGTGATTAGATCGTGAATTGCTTCTGAAATGGGGAGACAGTCTATCTGGTGACTGGGGTCCACTGTAAGAAGCATCTTCAACAGGCGAGTGGCTTCTGTAGTTATAGGAAGGATCATACAAGGAAGGCTGATATTCAGCTACTGGTTCAGAAGACCGGGCTAGTGCAGGCTCTTGGAATTCTTCTTCCAGCTCATGGTCAGTGTAGGCTTCACCTTCTGCATCAGTCTCCTCATAATCACTGTTGGCACGACTGTCACAGCTCAGGTAATCTGCAGAATGAACTGCTGATTCATTTATAAGGTCCAATGGTTCATCTCCTGAAGGTTCAGCCTTAATACAAAAAAAAGTCAATGTATATTATTAACATTGTTTTATCCCTGTAAAAATCTTCCTAGATAATATTTTACCTTATCCTCAGTGGTCCATATTACTCTTCCTTGTTCAGTTCGAATTGTTTCTTTCAGGCTTCGAAGCCAAGAATCACTTGCTCCACTCAAGTTAATAACCGCTAAAATAAAGAAAAAAAAAGGAGTACAATATAAGAAATAAAAAGGAGAAATATTCAAATACAAAACAGAAGGGAAACAATTTGCAATCACCAGTAAAAAGATGAGAATAGTTCTTTCGCAGTTTGACAGCCTGTGCATACAAACGACGTGAACTCTTCTTTGACTCGGGGAGTAGCCATTGTCTCATTGCCTTCACTCCCTGTCGGTTCTCTGGGTTGCAGAACACCACAATAGGGTAAAACTGCACATAATTCAGATGCTCCACTGCTGTAGGTGTGATGTCTAATAAAGCATGCTTATTCTAAAAAAGAACAAAAAACAATTAGCTTTTTTTAAAAAAAAGAGAGTTCCCTTACTGCCACTTTAGCATGATGCAAGCTAAATCGGTATTTAAACAATACAACTTAAACTCAATTTTTAAAAAACAGCGGTAAATTCATGATTTATTTTAGCTTAACCACATCTTTATCTAATTAAATATGTATAATGGTAATTGTGTTCAAGTTTTAAGTTGACTAGGCCCAACTTAAAACACAAAAGTGGGAAAGCAGTGCGGACATTGCATAAAAAAAAATACAGATTTATTAAAATGACAAAAGACGTCTGCTGTCCAAGCAGCTGCTGATGCAGTCACAGTACAATACACAAACCCTCATGTACTGTTCAGCAAAAAAAGTAAGTGAATAGTCTTGTATTGGCAATCCTGGATCCGCTTTTTTTCTAAGCATAAAGAGGTCACAGTACGCATTTTAGAAAACACTATTTCCCTTGACCACTAGGGACTGTGTGCTCTCCAGATGGAGAAGGGTGTTTAGGATGTCATGAAGTGTAAAAAGGTGCAAATTGCGGTAACCTATACTGTGCACATACGACGACTTTAGCTAGAACACATTAACCTCCCTGGTGGTCTGATTATCTTTTTTACCATTTTGTTTCCTCTTTTAAATCTTCTGCCGGTCCTGCCCCCATGCGACGCGGGCGCTTGCAAGGGACGGAACCCGGATGTCCGCATCGGCCGGAGGACACAGCGGGGCTCGTGGACAAGGTAACTTACGCACAGTGTAATCCCGAGTGTGGCTCGGGGTTACCGCTTCTGGTACTGAAAATGAACCCGAGCCACACTCGGGAATACCGCCAGGGAGGTTAAACAGCATGCAGGAGTCTATTAAAAAAAAAAATTGGCACTCGCAGTGAACACATTATTCATAACAATCCATTAAATATATCAATAACTCGTAATGCATACTTTATTCATGATTGCAAACAAATTTTTCTTCATTGTTGTATCAATCATGATATCTTATTTAACTTTTTAATATACATATTGAGAGATAAAGTCTGCTCGTTTGTTTATCTATTTCTTCAAGTATTTATGATTGCTTAATTATTTATATATTAATTATGATTCATGTTTTCATTGTGATAAGTGCAGTTTTTTTTTTACATATGTATAAATACCTATTTATGCATCCTAATGGGGAAGGTGCAGCACTTTTGGGGGAGATAATGGTTAAAAGACTGGAGGAGCTTTTAAACTTGAAAATGGGGGGGCTGGGGATAAAAAAATTATATAATAAATATAGGGCATGTAACTAAAGGGCGATTGGTATTGAGGGCAGTAATACAAAGGGGGATAGAGGGCTCACTCCAGTCAATCTAGTTAATCTAATTACTCCAATCAATCTAATAAATAATGTATCAACCATACCAAGGTCTAATAAGAAAAAAAGTAGTTGGGCTCCACAAATGAGTAATAATAAAACCCAAACTAAAATGTATGTACACCAATGCTAGAAGTCTAGCAAACAAAATAAGCTCGAACTTATGCTGCTCGAAGAGGACTTCGATATAGTTTGAATAACAACTTGGCTGGACAGCACACATGATTGGGCAACCAGTGTACAGGGGTACAACCTGTTCAGGAGGGACAGGGTCGGCAGAAGGGGGGGGAGGGGGGGATGCATGTGCGTAAAAAACAATCTAACTGTGCACATACGGTATGACATCAAGCCTTAAAAGTGCAAAATACAGTCATGTTAACAATTAAGTACACCCTATGGAAATTTTTGACTTTTTCCACATATCTGAACATGCAAACATTAGGATTGTTATTTAAACAGTGCACGCAGACTGAACACAAGAAAAATCTGCCTTATTTATTCAATTAAAATATCAATAGATACAGTATATTGTGGAAACAGTAAGTACGCCTTTAACATGGAAACCTGGTACTTCTCCCCGTAGAAATAACTTTGAATAACTGCCCCCCAGTCTCGGACAAACTCAGTCAAAATTTTTTTTCCACTTTTTCATGCAAAATTCCTTCAGTTGCAAGTTATTTGTGGGTTTTGTGGCATGAAATAGCAGTTTTGAAACCCCCCTACAATATTGCAACTGCCACCTTTTTATTTTACACGGTCTCTGCTTACAGAAAATATATTTTCTAAAGTATGTTTTGGGTGTGTTAAGTCATCTTCAGACCTAAAATGTGCATTTTAAAATGCGCAAAAAAAATTAATCTATTTCCAGAGCTGCAAACAGCATGTAAGGTATTTTTGTCTGACTTTACGGTGAAGATCTTTCCATGGAAGCTCAATAATGTTGATGTCTGGCAACAGTCCCTTCCAATGCCTCAGACAGTATTCCTGTATTTTCACCAAACAAATCTTGGAAACCTCGTAAATATGCTCTGCATAATTGTCCTGCTGTATAGTCAAATTGGTTTTGATATACCACTGTCCAGGGTGCACTACATGATGTAAAAGAGATTGGTAAACTTTTCAGTCTATGATTCTTTGCACTCTGTGTATATCTCCTATCATGTCAGCACTGAAGCAGACCCATACCATTAGATTGCCTCTACCTTCTTTGAAAGAAGGCTTGAAACACTCCTGTAGCACCCTTTAAATTTACTTTACATCTTACAGATTGCCTTGTACACAAATATGGTCCAGCCCCTATTAATACAACCAGGTCAAGATATTATCCCCTTGAAAAGAGTTTCTACAGTGGAGGAAAGTATTCCTTCTTCTAGCATCATAATCTGTGAAATGTTTAATAAAAGCAATACAGGACCAGATGTATACTTCCTGTCCTCGAGTGCCCTTCCCTTGTTCCCCCCACCCCAGTCCTCCGAGATCAATTGTCATAGTCTCACATGGTACACAGAGGCTGCTGAACTAAGTGGTAAAAGAGACATTTTCCCACACTGCATAAGTACACCTAGAACAGGAAACTAGAAGGTTAAGCCAAAATGTCACCTAACTCCACTAGAAATTTGCAACCAGGTATTGGGACCAAACGGGCAAGTTGTAAATACATGGAGCACTATTCCACTAACTGAAATGTGCAGGGGCAGCAACAATGAGAACCCAGGTGGTTTGTATTAGTAGGCAGGGCAGCAATATGTATTAATTATATATGAGAATTTGTTACCGACAGTCAGCAACTTGATGTTGACCTATGTTGATCATATGGAATAAACTGACAATGTTTGTTAAAATTCACACATTTATATTAGCTGTTTGAACATGGTTCTTTGTTACCCTGTGCCTGCAATTTGAAATGCTGGCTTGTGTTAGAGGTATGTGGCATGTCCTGTGCTACATGAGCATCTAGCACATTACATCGCTTGGCAAAAACCAGGTTTAGGGGAATGTTTGCTACAAAAGTGCCCCCCGTCCTCCCCATTAGCTTTGGGGGAAGATTCAGCAGTACCAATGTCAATCAGGCCTAGTAGAAAAAAAAGAAAAAAGTAATGTTGTATAAGGTTTGTAATGCTTACCTTTGCTGGAGATAATGGTGCTTCAGGTTCTTTTCAGTAGTACCGATATAATAAAAACCTATGGATTCAGTTTACCTCAGCTGATCCTCACCTTCAGCAGAGATAATATGACCAAAGTCCTAGACCTTTAAATTTATGAACAATCCTAGAAGAATTTTCACTAAGAAAGGCAAGTATACCTAGCACTCTGGTGAAATTAGATTATTTCAAGTATAACAATTAAAACTTGTGATCAACTCCTCCCTTGAAGATGATTCAACAAAAAGACAACCCTTTTCGGACTATTAACTATTGAAGGGATGTGAAACTAGAGTTCCAAATAGCTTTTTAAGACAAATAAAAATATAGGATAGTTGGGAGGACCTAATTAACAAATGAATGAAGATTATGTGACCAACCAAGCTCCTATCTCCTGAAAGTGTCAGTCCCAGAGGTCCTCACATGCCCCCCAGGGAGAATAACTGAAAAAACGTCCCCTTCGCAGATTGGTACTGTAAACCAACAAGACCAGAGCTAAGTATTAAATTGACAATTATATTTAGTCAAGGATAGTATTGTCTTTTACATGGCTATATTCAATTGTACTAAATATTAGTCTTGTATGCATTTGTGATGAGAAACAATATTTTATATATAGTCGTTTTTTAAAGAGTTAATGCAAATTAATTTTAAAGGTTAATGGGCCAAGCACTACAGATGATCTTTTACATTTTAGCTGGTCTCTCTACTTACCCTCTCCGCAATCTCTCTCACCAACTGAAGTTTTATGATTTTGGATGTTCCATCCTCACGAGCAACAGTTTCTGAAAATAGGGTATCAGGCATAGGTAAACTATATTTGCAGTCAGAATGTTAACACAATAAATTAAATATATTGTTTGGAAAAATGCACATGAATGTTAAGAAATAAAGAGCAGAGGCCAATGAACTACAGCAGACAAATTATTTCACCAATTACCAAAGACCAAGACAGGATTATTGTACTTAAATGTGAAGTCCGTTTCTTGGAGTTAGTAAGGCACACATTACAGTATTGTTTTATGTTAAAACATCTGGAGGGTTTAATGTCACTTCAAGGGACAAAAGATCAGAAGTAATGCAGAGACAACTGGATGGTATTGCCATATACAAGAGGAACTGGACACTGGCAAACAAAATCCATTAGCCACTGAGGTAACCCTTCCCAATCCCATCATTCTTCAGTTTTGTAAAAAAACAATATTAGAAGTAGATATCAAACACATAGAAGTTGGAACCTGTGTCCTTTTAATTATCTCCAGGAAATGGATTTTACAGTAAGTACTAAAATTCTGGTTTCTTTCTTATTCATTAAGGTACGCCAGACCAAAAGTAATTCAGAGACAACTGGGATGTCAAAAAGCAGTCCAACTAAAGGGTGGGCAACAGCAACACACTTTAACAAGCCCGCATAACAAGTGTAAGGCAGCCTGAAGCTTATAGGACTTCCTGAAGGACCTTGCACCTGATGCTTGTTTCAGCTGAGACCTGAACATCCGCGTTAAAACTTAGGAAATGTATGAACAGATGCCTGATGCCTTAAAGCCCAAGAAGCACTTACAAACCTAGTACAAAGCTCCGGCCCTGCATGGCTTTACTGTCAGTTTTTTTTAAACGCTTCAAGGATCTTCCCATTTACTGAAGTTTGCTATTCTGTATTAGAATCCTGCCCTTTCTCTCCCCAGCCTCTGGAAGCCCACCTAAATGTCCTCCCAAAACGGGGAAAACCTCCCACTGAATGTTGAAGCTACTGTCCCATTTCACAGATTAATGTGGATGTCAAGCTATACGCCAGGGTGCTTGCCTCAAGACTCGCGCCTGTTCTTCCTTCTCATCTATCCTGACCATAAGAGAGTTGTGTTAGGGAAGCTAGGGACAATACTACCCGGGCCATTACCCGATTTCCTTTGCCCAACGGAGATCCATTCCGCTCTGCCTCCTGGCAGTTGATGCCGATAAGGCTTTTGATAGAAATTATTGGTCCTTCCTGAAAGTCTCTTTACATCATATTAGTTTGGGAGACTCCTTTATTTCTAAAATCTTGGCTCTCTACACCACTCCCACAGCAATGGTTCGGGTAATGACCTCCTATCCTCATAACGGTACTCGCCAAGGATGTCCGCTCTCGCCGCTTCTGTACATTTTAGAGATGGAACACTTGCCGATTGGCCTTAGGAACAATCCCTGAATTCAAGGTTTGTAATTTCCTTCTCATTACCATAAATTGTCCCTTTTTGCTGATGATCTTTTAGTTGAACATCCTCACTAGTATTTTATATAGATTCCAAATGATACCGATATTTTTGTCGTCCTCATTTTCTGCTTATTACGCTCGGCAGCATTTTGTTTATTTGGGGTCGCAATTCTTCTCGTGTAAGTATTTGCACCTTAATGCAAACTAAACAGAGAGGGGGCTTAGGTCTTCCAGATTTCTTACTGTGCCTAAAGGCTGCACTTCTTACCAGATTGGTAGACTGGTTCCACTCTGTTAAATTTACAGTTGTGGTTTCCCTTGAGAGCGATGTTTCCCAGGTTCCGTTACAAATATTGCTCTGGCTTTCCCTCCCATGACCGTCCCTGCCCCACATCCTTGTCTTACCTAATCTCTCCGGTATTAACATGTTGGGATTCTCTTACGCCGTGGACTGCTTTCTTCTAGGCCTGGTCCCCTCACCCCCTTATTCAATAATCCTTTGTTTCCTCATGGTATACACAAACCTAGACTTCTTTCCCTTAACAAAGCCCTAATATTCAGATTCCCATGTTCTCAGTTCTGGTAGTTCCCAGGTGCTTCAATCAGTCTCCCCTCACACAGGCAAATATGAAAGTGTGGTTAGGACTTTTTCCGCTCACTAATACCTGCCTCCAATCTGAGTATACCCCTTACCTCCTTTGAGCAACTATGCACGGTGGAACAGCGTGTACCTCACACTTTATCTATTGTCTATGGTTTCCTGAGAGATGGGGGTTTACTCCACTTTGTACATGAAGATTTGGGAACAGGATCTGGGCCGGGTGTTGTCAAGAGAAGCACTGGAAAAATATATTTTCACTTCTACACTCTGCGTCTGTTTCTGTCCACTTTCAGGGGAAGAACTACAAATTAATTTCTAGATGGTATCAATGTTCATCTTCCCTCCACCGTATCTTTTCACCCTCCTCTGACAGATGTTGGCGATGTCTTCAACATGAGTGTACCTATTTACATGTGTGGTGGGGATGCCCCAAATTACAACCCTTTTGGTTAGCAGTGGCTAAAGCTGATTGTACCTTCTGTGTCCTTCACTTCTGCGATTGCATTACTCTTGATTTTGCCGGGCTCGTACAAGAACATTAAAAACGATGTTTTACGTTTCTGCCTAATTCGCCGCTCAGCTTTCTATTTCCTGCAGTTGTAAATCTACTGAACCTCCTACTGTATCTGTTTGGGCGTCCATTGTAAATTATATTATGTATATGGAGGGCTCTCTAGCGATGGATAAAGGAATAGAAATTCACAACAAGATTTGGTCTGGTTGGATGTTATACAGTGAATCTGACAAGTTAAAGTAATTTTTCTTTTTTTGGCTTTCCTAGAGCAGCTTACCCTGCCTCCATGATGGGTCCCTGGTTCTATCTGTCCATGTTTTTCATGCTTTTGCCCCACTTCATAATTTTCTTCCCCCGCGATACTTTGGCATTTCTTTACTCCTCTCTTTTCTTCCTTTTCCCTCTCATTTTATATCTTTTCCTCTCGTTTTCTCTTTTGTTCCCTCTTTTTCCCGCCTCTTTCTGGCAGCTCCTTCTTCCTGGCCTTTGTATTGATATTGTACCATAACATAATGCTTGGTACTCAGTTCCCATGGGCAAGAACCCCTATTTCTGCTGCATATTTTGATTATCTACTGCTAAACACTGTTATCCTATACTTATCTGGAACTCCTAATTTGATACTTTATTGTTCTTATTGTACTGAAAATATTTTTTTAATAAAACATTGTTTACCAAAAAAAAGTTTTTTTGTTGCCATATATCAAATGAAGGATGCATTTCATGTGCAAATTATAGACCTGGCAGAAAGACATCCTGGCATTCAAGAGCATAGGAATCACCGAATCAGGAAAGCCCCTGTCCCTTACGACCTGAGCTTTAACAACCAAACGATCGTGAAGCAGGGAGGTAATCCGGTCCTTGGGACAGAAGATCTGGTCAATCTAGAAGAGCCCACAGGTTATCTGCCAGGAGTCATATGAGGTCTGAGTACCACATCTATCTGGGCCAATTCAGTGCTATGAGAATCATCGGAATGCCCTCTCGATTGTGTGGAGCAATTGAGAAAGGAGCTTAAGAGTAAGAAAGGCATTATTCAGATTGTACTGATCCCAAGGAGCCACTAGAGCAGTGGGTCGCTGCATCAATTTCTGCTGCGCTGGGTGAGAGCCTCCTCAGCCTCCTCCTTGCGCAGCAGTGTCAGTCAGCGGGAGGACAGCAATGGCTGTGAATATAAAAGTGCCGCTGTACACACTCCCTGGCCGCTGCAGCGACATCTAGTGGCCGGGCAGTGTTTACAGCAGGACTAAAGTGCGGGCTCTGCAGGAGGTGGGGCATCTTAGCAGGGCTGGGTCTGAGAAGGCTGCATGGAGGCAGAGCAGACAAGCAGTGGCTGGGGAGGGCTTGCATTCTTGTGAGAGTACAGAGGCAACAGATAAATAGCTTTAAACAATCATAAAAAGTTGTACAACAATGAAATACAAAAAAAAAACCCCGGGTTGTGCCACTGGAAGTAGCGTGGGGCGTAACCAGGAGAGACCTTAATCTATTGTAGTGGCATCTCATCTATCCATTTAGCAGGACACAGCGTAATTGGTAGAGTATACCATAATTGGGTCAGATAGAAAAGAAAAAAATCATTTATTAGAGGGGAGAGAGGGGATAGAGCAGAGAAGGGAAGGAGTTGCGAGGTGTGGGAGACGAGGGGGAAAGGGTTCAGTCCAGACCCCTTAGAGCAGTGGTTCTCAACCTGGGGGTCGGGACCCCCTCGGGGGTCGAATGACAATTTGCCAGGGGTCGCCTAGCGGCTTACGGCCAACCAGGAGAGAAGCACTTTCTCTGCTCTTTTTTTTCTGACAGGGTTAAAAGTAAACCTGCCGCTCCATGTGCACAGTGAGAGGGGATAGCAGTCTTCCACTCTCACCTGTCACAGAAGTTCCAGCACAGTGCTGTGCTAGGACTCCTTTATTGGAGGTGACAGGGTCAATAAAGAGAACCTGTCACCTCCAATTGCTAATACACAGGGGCTTGTTACCTCTGTGTGATAGCAATGAAGTTAAGTGGAAAAAAAATAGATAAAAAAATTAAGAAATAGAAATAAAAGAATTACAAAAATAAAAAAGCGATTGAAAAGAAATAAACAAATTATTAAAAAATAAGAAAATTATAAAAAACAATAATAAGGGTGAGAGTCCTCCTCAGCCCTCTCCTAGGGCAGCAGCGTCAGTTCTCCCGCCACGCCGCCAGATGTCGCTGTAGCAGCCGCGTCATCCCTAAATTTTACCGTTGGGGGTCACCACAACTTGGCAAATGTTACCAAGTGGTCCCGGCTCTAGAAAGGTTGAGAACCACTGCCTTAGAGAGAGAAAAAGAAAAGGGTGGAGTACAATATAGGTAAGGGCGAAAAAGAGATCCCTGTTGCATAGCTTCACAGGTTTCCAAGTCTCGGAATAAATGCCACAATGTCCATGTTTTAATGTATCTGGACATGTCATCTCTGCTAGAGTGGATAAGTTCCTCTATGGTCGAAACTATC